TATTTATTTTTTAAAAAAGGTTTCTATTAAGACAAAACTAATAATATAAATGAAAAATTAGGTGTTTTTACATGCCCAGGTATTTTTAGAATGAAGAAATTTGTGGAGCATCTAATCTGGGGGGCAGGTCCCGTGCACAAGGCGAAGCCTCTGCCCTCGCAGAACTTGCGTGTTAGTGCAGACACAGACAAGGAAACAACCTTAGCTTCTAATAAAGACCGCACCAATTTAAATTAAATGATAAATCCAAAGGGTTTACAAGAACTATACAGATTACAAATATCAAGCAACATTTTCAATGAAACTAAGAGACATTAGAAGAGAATGGACCTGTTTGAAACCTACATCGCAGCTGCCCTGATACACCAGCACGTACGCAGGCAGCACATTCTAGTGGTTGTGCTAGGCTGACTTAGTTTGAATTGTCTTCACTGCAAATTTGCACTATCAAATCCAGGGAATAAAAGCCCTTTAAAGGGGGATTATTAAGGGGTCACACGATACATTATCTACTTATATTTGAAGTGATAAAGACTGCTTTCTTCATTGTATGACAATGCAACTACACAGCCACTGACACACGGCTGCCAGTCCCGTCTGTGGCCGACACAGCACAGACTGGCTCACTCCACGGAGCTTGCTGCATTTCCCACCGCTCTTCAGCGCAGGCTCCATGTGGGGCCCGGCTCCTCCCGAGCAGATGCAAGTCTTTTGAAATCTGAAGGGCAGGAGAGATACCAAGTGGAGGCTGTGCTCTGCCCTCTGCACCAGTGAGCACGGCTGCAGAGGCAGCTGACTGTTCTGGAGCAGCTGCAGCTGAGATCTCAGCACCAGGTGCCTAGCTTCCGGGGCAGGCACCCATTTTGCTGGCATAGGTTATTAACACAGACAGTGCGGTCCCAGAGCCACCCGCTCTGGTAGCAGTTCTTGATGTCCCAGCTTCCTGATGGCGGCAGAGACATAAAATCCACGGCTGAGCCAGCTCTGCCACACAGCTGTCCTTCCTGGCAGCTCAGCCTGCTCCATCGGCCTGTCCAGGGACTTTACGAGCACCGACTTTATGAAACCTTTCTGTTTGAACTATACACAGCAAGCTCTTACACTGGACTCTTAATGACAGTATTTATCTAAAAAAAATCTTCTGATGTTGTCATGCGACATCTGAGGTCAAGATTAAGTATTATTTTCATTAAATAAATTAGTTATGTAAGAGGCGTATTTTTTGACCAAGAGTGGCAAAATGAAGTGTAGATAAGACACTATCTGCAAGTCATCGAAAATGATCTCTAGAAATCTACAATTTTTGACCTGCCTCAAATCCCCTTTGTAACAGATACAGTACAAAAATTATAAAGAGATATTTAATTATAAATAGAAACTAAATATTTTCTTACTTGACTGCAGCAAACACATTATCTCCACTTTGAACAATCGTACAGTTTTTCTTTGCTTCATTTATACCAACATATGCAGGAAGCTCATCAGGAGAATCCCTGTTGAAGCAAAGGATATTAAAAACTTAGCTGCCCGTAATTGACACCATCAGGCAATGGAAATTTTAGGTCTACAGACAACTATTTATACCTGTATTTTTTTTTATTGGAACAAATTTGCCAAGTTTAAACTCT